TATCCTCGTCATGTTGATACGGATAATAGACAACGCCGAACGAAACACAAGAGTCATAATTTTGTAGATATGAATTCAGGCATGTATCTGACCATGATGTAACTAAGTAGGTGACACAATGATGTATAGTTCTAGCCAACTAAACGTACTCCAACTTGGAAGCAAGCCGACTTTGGAGGCGCTTGTATTATTTTGTTTGCAACTGTAAGCTCATCATTGTCGAGGGAAACGATTATAGATATTTTAAAATACATTTATTAAAATAACTTATTTTAAATTAGCTCACATAACGGGATGGTGCCTGGATATTTATATACGATCTACTTGCATCGCCCGTCAATGGCTCTCGTGGAGGGTTTCTTTAACACACATTTCGAGGTGTGTCCAATGGTTGAAACAGATTGAGGATTAAAAAATACCCCTAAACGTTTTCAGTTAATTCAGTGTCAAAAACGTTGTGAGCCAAACAAAAGTAAGATTCATCAATTTTTACAATTATCTTTTTTTAATTCATTGTAACACGCATCAACGACACGGTCATTAGCGAGTACATTAAATACAATAATTAATACATATGTTTCGGTATACAATTCACATATTAAATTACACAATTAGTGCATTGATCATATTTTATAAATTATAAAACACTCATCATCTTCTTCTTCATTTCAAAAACTTTTTCATATAAACATTCTACCCGCTTACTCGGGTTGTCTTGCTGTCACAGAACAGTTATTTTCTTTACCTCGACTATTTCCGCCTCTAATGGAAGGGTATGGATACGAGGTTGCCCGGACACTTTTTGTACATGGACAATTGATAAAATTAAAGATATCGCGTTGAGTGGGTATTGATTTACATTAATAATAGAACAACACATTACAATTACATTAGAAATTAATTGGAATAAACAAATTACAAAATATAGATTCCGCCTGCTTATATTGCAAGTATGCATTTACGATCCAAGTTTAGTTGCAGTTTACCTGTTGAGCAATAAAATATCCATGCTGTCTCCAATGTCAAACATAAATCTTCAGCGATCATTGTCGTGGCAGGCTAGAAAATTACTTTATTCTATCAACTAGAAACCGTCTTTTCCTTCTAAGTTTTATCTCAACTGAATAACATTTTAACATTGATGTTGATTAGAAGCCATTTACAAGATAATTTTACTGGTGACAATAAGAAGACAATGTAACTAGCTAGGCGGAGTCATGAACCACTGAAGCTAGAACAGGAAGTGAATATTTCACTGAATAGTCATTGTGATGGAAAGACGTTCATCTTCAGGGTGTTTCAGGGACGTTTATGTTTCAGGGTCTTGTGTTATATTGATTCTTTGCTAAAGGTAATGCCGGCCTAGGTATAGGCAGCCCGGAGCCTCGCAAATCAAGGGGCCAGATGATGGATCTGATGGAAAAGAAATAGTACAAAATTGAAAAAGAAATTAGAGTTTGCGAAAATCGTTATCGTAATTTTGTACAGTAATCTGATCTTACAGAAAATTTTCAATGAAGTTTTTAACTTAAATACTTTATTAGGATTGAAATGAAAAATTCAGACAATTTGGAAAATTTAACTAAACAGTGCTATCATTGAAAGTTTTTTAAGTCTTTAAATTGTATCCCCTTAACATCTAAAATACTTAAATACACATTTTTGTAAAAATTATATACATACATTATATAGATATTAACCCTGTATTTTCGTTGAAGTGTAGGACTGATGAAAACTATTATTTAAAATATAGTTCCAAAAACTTTTGGTAGCTTGGTAGTTTTTTGATACAACTTTCCCAATGTTAGTTGTTTTTTTTGTGGGGGGGCTACGTTTGAGCATTTCCCCGGGTCCAAATTGTCTAGCTCCGGCCCTGGTTAAAGGGAACGAGGGAAAGGCGTGGGTACGTAGACATTATATATCTTTTTCATTTACTTTAGCCTTGTTTGGCTCTGAATCTACATATAAAAATCATTGAACAAATCAATTGCAAATTAACAATCTCTTCCCCTTTCGCTTTACATTTGACTAAGTTGAGCCTACAGCTGAGTGACTACAGCTGAGCCCAAACCTGCAAAGAAAAGTGGAGGCATTTGCTGGTTTAGGAGACTTCCACCGGGCTATTCTTAAGTTTTAAGGCCACAGAAATTTGCTTGGAAGTAGCACAAAACCCATTACAATTACAATGATTCAGTTTAAGGAAAGGGTATAGTCAACGCAGGAAATATTATGTGGGAGATAAAAGCATTTCGGGCGAGAGGGCTGACCAAGGTTTTAGAATAGAATTGAAGCTTTGAATCTTGAGGTTCCCATTATCAGTTAGTTTTGTTTCCGGGAACATCAGGAATCGAAATCCGACTTTCAATAATACTCTTTCACGAGGCCATCCACTTACAACAAATGATAACCCCAGCCATTAGCGCATTGCCGGTTCTCTCTTGTGCAGAGATTCCGAGTGTTCAGTTCAGATCGTACGCTGAAAAGAAAGTTGAGTTCGAATTTTGTAGAATATCGCAATGCACGTAGCAAAATGAACTAGAACAGGAAAGATTTTGTGTGCAGGTTTTCAAAAATCCAAATTTGAAAACTAGAACAGACCACGTAAGTAGCCATTCCCCGTACAAGCCCAACCTGAAAAAAAAATATAATTCATCCGTTAGTACCTTCCATAACAAGGTACCCACTCTGTAGATCTACATGGTAATCTACTTATAACGAGGATGGCCGATAATGAATCTAGAAACAAGAGAATATATAATTTATAGCCATTCCTGATCCCAAATGAAAAAATTGCAATCCACCCTTTCAATTCTGGAACACTTCGATATACGTCTTCCGTCTTCATGCATGATTCGAACTCCATTTTTTTTTGTTAATGGTTATTCCAAAAGCCGATATCCTTTACGTGAAGTAAAAACATGACGTTGCCAGAAAAAGAAAATACCGTGTTATAGAAATTCGAATCTTTAATTACGCTATTATACCACTATTTCACCGCCGCTTTGTAGTATACTTACACAGTTTTTAGGGCTTTTCTTGGTGACTTTCGGTTAGAAATAATAGTAGATTTGAAACAATTCTCCCTTTAAACCTATTTAAATTTGGCCGTCGAAGAGAAATCGGGAGGAAGAAAACCTGAACTTCTTTCTCTTAATTACAAAACCTTTGTTAAACTGAAATGAACATTTAAATATTTAATTTAATTAATGTTTGACTGTCGTTTGATAAATATTCTTCAAAGTTGAAAATGTTTGAAGAAATAGTAGATTAATATTAAGAAGGTCAATGGCTTACTGGAAAAATGAAATTATAACCAGAAAATGTAAAATTCTATCTTATGACAGATTCTTCTTCCTTTTCTTCTCTTTCTTTTTCTTTGCTTTCTTCTCTTCTTTCTTCTTCTTTTCTCTTTCTTCTTCTTTTCTTCTTCTTTTCTTCCTTCTTTTCTTCTTCTTTCTTCCTTTTCTTCTTCTTTTCTTCTTCTTTTCTCTTTCTTTTCTTCTTTCTGTTCTTTCTTCTCTTTCTTCTTCTTTTCTTCTCTTTCTTCTTCTTTCTTTTCTTACTTTTCTTTTCTTTCTTCTTTCTCTTCTTTTCTTCTTTCTTCTTCTTCTTTTTCTTCTTCTTCTTTTCTTTTCTCTTCTTTTCTTCTTCTTTGTCTTTCTTCTTTTCTTCTTTTTCTTCTTTCTTCTTCTTCTTTTCTTCATTCTTTAAAAGTCTAAGTATTGTCTTTCCATATGCTCCTTGGTCTGCCAACTTCTCTTCTTCCCCTAGACCTTTCATTCTTAGTAATCCTCGCGTTTCTTTTCTCCACCATTCTCTCAATATAATCGTTCCATTCCTTTCAGTCTGCTACCCATTCCGTTATGGGTTTAACTTTGCACTTTTCCCGGATCTGTCTGTTTCTTTCCTCTTGTGACAGATTCAAAAATAATATTTTGTTACCGACGCATTTAAGCGTATAGAGAAGCTGAATGGCATTATAATATTGATATTTTGTTTACCTTAAACATAACTGCTTACTGAATTGTCTTGATGACATTTTCCTACAAACAGACCTAAGATTTTATCGGATTTTGGTTTAATAGGCGTCTTCAATGTTAATTAAATTAAAGGACAATACGTGGTCTTCCTACACAGCAGAATAATTGTTTCTTATTGCTCACTTCCCTTTTCACTCCACTGCGTGCTTGTACGTTTTTATCCGGTCGTCAATTCCCATTTTCCAATACATCGCCGGGCTTGCTACATACTAATTTGCATCTTTTACTTAGCCATTAAAAAAAACTTTCGACAATTAACGTTTTCCTCTTTTCACAACCAAAGTTTAAGCAATTCTCATAACCCATACGTATTAGCACGTCCGAGAACTACACTATGGTACCTCCCACCTCTACTAAAGTTTGCGGGCATCTCCCCCCTCAGTTCATTTCTCGCGCAGCTCAATTGTTCTTTCATGCGTAGTATCACTCGAAAACTCGTCCCCATCGATACCAGCTCTGCTTATGCTTTGACCATTACATTACTTTCGTTTTTTTTTATTGAAATCATCAAATGGTCCATCACAATACCAAGTAGCTCGCGACAGTTCTATGTTTACAATACACGTAATTAGTAATAACAGCAAAACGAATTATGATATTAATGTAAGATATCAGTTATATTTGTTTTTTTGATTTATGTCAAATTTAATTAAATAATTTTGTGACTTGGAACGGTTACACACACACACAATTTTTTATTTCCATATTTACTCGTAAATATATCGTTATTAATATTAAAAGCATAACAAATTTTTGTTTTCGAATAAAACTATTTAGGAGATTTGATATACAGTAGAATATAGAATATTTCATTAACGTGAAATTCAGATTAAAGATTGACTGTACTTATGGAAATGGGATATAGAAGAATATTTAAATAATGTAACCCGCCAGTATCGAAAGTTGATAAATATTGGGTTGGAAAAGTGAACTAGGAGAAGGAAAATTGAAGGAATATTTTTAATATTGTCAAGTTTGACAATAATAAAAATGTATTTATTTCTAAAATTTCAAGTAAGACACTTAAAATTACAACGGGAAATCTAATGTCATGTCATCAAAGTTCAAGTTTACAAGCACGCTTAAGAGGAGAATAAACAATTTGAAAAATGAACGGGAAAAGTTTTTGATTTGAATAAAATGTTTACGTATCACACACAAGCGAGGTCCACAATGGTAAAACAAGGTACAATAGGAGATAATTCACCTATTTATAACAAATATGTAAACCTAGCAGAAATAAAACAATTCGCAGTAAGGATACAACTGGAACAGACAAAAGCCTGAAACAACAGTCTAAGAAGTCCTTGTTTAAGAAACGATTTGTCAGAGATTTAGCATAAAACAAATACAAATTTTACGTATCAGGCATGCAAATAATGCACTCAGTCATCCTACGTATTTTTCTTTCAAAGAGTATTAAAGGTGACTATTCACGAAAAAAACAACAACCTCGCTTGCGCAGGATGTAAACGAGACACCGCTGGCCCTCTTAATCGCGGAAAGAATGGAACAGATGACAACCGTCGCGAGACAACCTCGCAAACCGCGCTTGCTCGTTAACAGCCTACTGAAGGCACTTCCCGTTGCGTTGGGCGTAAATGCTGCGCCGGATGCCGAGTCAGATGCCCGAAGCGGGGTACCCGTTCATGGGCAGGGAGGGCAGAAACAGGCGGCGCACTTCGTTGGTGGACGCTACGTCTCCGGCCGTAAGGCCTGCGCTGTCCCGGTGCAGGAGGTCCGTGCCGGCCGTCAGCAGCAGAACGGCGCACTCGCGCTCGCCCGCGGCGGCCGCGTGGTGCAGCGCCGTGCGGCCCCACCCGTCCGTCTGGAGACATTCGGAAAAGGCTGTTAATAGCAACATGCGGCCCCACGCGTCCGTCTGGACACATGAGGAAAATTCCAGTAATAACACTGTGCAGTCCCATGCGTCCGTCTGGTGACATACTACATCTACGAAATAAGAAAAAGCGTGTAATTTTTTTTTCAAGATCGAAGTTTCCTTGGCGTGCCGGCGATCTACTGAACGATTCGCCAGGCGGCCGAGGGGCTGTAGTACCTCGTCCGGGTCGGCGCCGGCGTCGAGCAGCAAGGCGAGGGTGGCGGCGTCGCTGAAGGCGGCGGCGAACAGCGCGGAGGGGTAGCCGCGCGCGCGGGCGGTCGCCGGGGTGCCGCCCTCCAGCAGCGCGCGCACGGCCTGCGACTGGCCGCTCAGCGCCGCGCGCCACATGGCCATCGCCGCGCACTCGCTGCTGAACTGCGACCAGCGCAAATGCAGAATTAGTTAACCATATGGTACGTGGACAATGCAGGGCGCTTTGAACGCTTTTCATACTTTTAATGGGGAGACAACTGCTCACTAGCGAACCTAGTCACGTGATCTGGAAGATCTGGCTATTCTTAATAATTGTATTTTTGTATAATTTAAATAATACTTTAAAATCAAGATATTACTTTTATTTATTAATGTTCTTTTAAAACTGCCTTAAAACCCCTGCTTATCCATTGACCCCTGCATATACATAATTAGAATCAAATGTCAGGACATACCTGCATAACGTCTGAGAATTTGCCCTTTGATAATGACTAAAATTAAAGTTCAAAGATAGAAGAAATATTACAAGGAGGGTAAACCCTCAGAAATGTAGCTATTCAGAGTAAAAAGCAAAAACCAACAAACCAACAACGTTAGGGTCTCTGAGATCCTGTATATGCATCCTAGCATTAAGCTAGTAGATGTAAAAAGCGTAGCATAGTCGACTCTGGCTATAGTGAACCACCACGGACCATTTTTGTTCACTACATCAGAGATTTGCTATATCTGAAAATCTCAAAATACAATAGTTTTTCAACTATTATTAATTTGTTGATTTCAGAGGTTGAGAAAAATACTAAATTTCTTTGAATTCTCAAATTTATTATCTTACTGTTTTCTTCATACTTTTTTCTAGTACATATTCCATACACTATATATAGAATTACTTTTGAACTTGCGATCTGCGTTCATGAAGTCTTTAGACTTGACAAAAATGCCACTGACAAGCTGACGCAATTTCCCCTGTGGCACGTTTCACTCAGTCCCTCTCATCATCAATAAATGTTACAAAAATAACTCACGACACTTACCTCCAAACCAGTATTCGTAGTATATGAATTCGGGGACTTTAGGAGAAATGTATTTTTCTGGAAGTTGTATTTAATACGTGTACTATAACCGTAACTTCTAGTAAACATTTGTTATATATACGGTTCGGGTCAGGTGACTTCGACACAAGTTCTATACAGCCGAAATTTGATTACATCAGAGTTCACTACGATTCATTGATTAGCGATTCCTGGCTCCGCAACTGCTAAAGTAATTATTCCCATAAGTGTACGGCATGTTTTCATCGAGGTCATGGCGGTAACCCTCCCTGCTGGCTGGCGATAGTTGCTATCTTTGCAGACATTGTACTAATTTTTCGGAGGTTGTCTATAACTATAACAGGTACATACAATTATCAATAACGTATCAAAATAAGACTTTGTAATTGTAAATGTATAACCCTGAAGAAGGCCAAATAAATGACGGAAACGTTGGCCCTGTAAACAAACGACTTTTTATTGTTCTACCCTCACGACTTCTCTATATAGAATAAGAGGTCACTATATGCATACGAAATGCTTATGAGTGCCCATAAGCAAGGGCCGAATAAAGGAAAAAAGAGAGGAAGAGGCAGGACAAATCGCTTGGTGTCCGTTTGTTAGGGCACTACTCCGGCATTCACCTGGTGTTGATTTGAGAAACCTCTAGGAAACTACCGATCAGAGCAGGCGGTCGCTATAGAATTCTCCTCCAGACAGCCGAGTTCACCATCTGCAGATTCGACTGTAATATGCGAAACAGACCAGTGTAGCGGACCTCACCACCAGACTCGAAGTCGGCCGAGGGGCGAGCGGGAAAAGTGACGCCTCGCCCCCACCTGCCACGCCTCCCAATGGGCTTGAGCGCCACGGACACTAATTCAAGTCGGTTCCGTGGCGAACAAGACTAGTGGAGTAGAGTGAATGAGCAGAATGAATGATTATGTATACAATGTTAAACAAGAGTGAATGATGAGTGAATGTAAAGAAAAAGCTCAATGATAAAAAAATACAATTTCTCCAGTAATTAGTTAAGTATTCACATTATTGTAAGTTAGGCCTGCAACAGTGTATATAATTCAATTTTCGAATTAGACTAAATCAAACTTGGCTAGTTATTCAGGCAAAGCTCCCCCCCCCTTCTAGCCGCGAGGCTACTTTTTATTCTAGCTTGGCCATTGAGCCGCATAAGATATGATTTATATACAAAGAATCATTTGAGACCTTGTAAACAGAAATTTAGTTTTAGATATAATACAATACAGAGGTTATATACAGTAGTTTATAATGAGAAAAGACTCAGCGGTTTATATCTATGGGAGATCGAAAAAACTCTTGGTAACTTTCTTCTTAACAGCAGCCTAATGCATCGGAGTTGTAGAAAATAAATTCCCGCCTCCACAGAAGTACTGTGGAGTGGCCAAAGAACCAAAAGGTGACGCTCACCACCTGGGGCCGGGCGGCCGCCATGAGGGCGACGACGTCGGCGTGGCCGGCGACGGCGGCGCCGATGAGCGGCGTGATGGCGAGCCCGTCGTCGGCGCAAGGGTCGGCGCCCGCCGCCAGCAGCAGCGCCGCCACCTGCCGGTGGCCTTCCAGCGCCGCCAGCCACAGCGCCGTCTTCTGGTTGTTGGTGCGCGGCTCGTCAGGCGCGATGCCCGCCTGCAGCAGCGCGCGCACCGCGCGCGCGTCGCCCTCGCGCGCCGCCTCCAGCAGCGCCTCGCCCGCGGACCGGGTGGGCGGGGCCGCGAACCACGCGCGGATCTACGCACGACCGTCGAAGTCACTGGCCTTCGTAGGGCGGATTTTATAACTCTGTCCATCAAGGCCCTGTTTCACCGTCGCATAATGTCACCGTTTTTTCGTGTCGTTCTCGTTCGTGCCGCTAGGAGTCGCATGATCGCGACTGTACAGCAGTGGTGAACAGACGCGAAATAACGGTAACATGATGGCACCGTGAAGTTGGGCCTTGAGGGAAAGTTTCAAAAACCGCACTACAAGGGGAGTTCATAAATTACGGAATCCAAATTTGGAGTATTTGGAATACCCATTCTCACTTTAAGTCACTAGTAACGTGCGCTTGAAACCCGTTCTCTAAATAATTACGTAATGCTTGGGACAACACCCCCCCCCAATCTACAATGAGTAAAAAGAAATTATAAAGCAGTTACGGTTTGTATTTGTGCTAAAATGTATAATAATTAAAGCCGGAATTACTTGGCGATGCGATCAGCATCTAACAATGAAATTGGAGTCAATTTTTGAATGAAGGAAGGACGCATAGGCGAAAAAAGTTCTGACAAACCGCGCATACGCCGTCATGGATGACGCTTGGGCCTTGAGGCTATTGGTCAATTTAATTGCATTCCAGCAAATACTACAGAACAGCTTTGAATATTTTGTTGTCATCTAAGAGTTTCAATAAATATATCATTCTTGAAAACTAAAAAGATTTTCTATTTGCTTTAACAATTTGTGCATCGTAACATTTTAGTTTATTTATATTTTTAATTTAATTTGCTAATATTTTAATATTTTGGTATGAGACTGAATAAATGGAAATATTTCACAAATTGACGAAAAAGTTGTGCTGTAAATGCTGTTTACGTAATGCTGAAAATAAGTATCAACCAATCATCAAGTAACAAAGTAAGTATCAATGATGCATTACGTAACACTATACCATGACTATATACCTCTCTGAAACGCAGCATAACGCTGCTTCAAACGTCTTCCCCCCTCCTTAGTTACTTAATTTATGGGCGACTCCTTGCACCGTTTGAATGACAAGGTTCCAACTTGAGTGGCTGCGAAGCGGATAACACTGATCATCCATTATGTCGTTGTAAATTATATGACAGCCAAAGATAAATGATAGTAAAAGTAAATACCCGTAATATTAATTTATCTCAAAATATTGTAGATATTTTTTGAACCTTAGATCAACTTATTTCAATCATATGTGAATTGTTTCCTAAGTTTCAAAAATAGCCATTTTCCGGCACACTATTAATAACTTTCTCTTCTTACGAATGATCGACGAAAATATCGTCTTATCAAATTAAAAGTTATAATAATAATAACAATAATGACAATGTGCCAACTGAGGAAATCTAAGGAAATGCGTTGTAGGTGTGATAAAGTTCTATCCGACATCTGCAAGTAGAACATACTCGTACTGCACACTGGACAAATAGCTACTGTAAAAATCACTACTGAAGCTGGAGAGATGGTTGAATATTTGCAGAGGTTAAACTGATCTCCATTTACTTGAAATGACTCCAGTGTTAGTTAGAACCTAGTTGGAAAGGTCGAATTTATATTTACAGAAAGTTGGGGTATCCTCGTATTATTTTATTCTTTAGCTGAATATATGATTAAAACCTTAAATATATGATTATTGTAATTTATAAATTAGTTATAAAAACATGTTAATTTGACTATTGACATTAATTAAGCAAATACGTCAACCCCTTAAACTTTCATTTTTTTAACAAGTCCAATGAAAAATTATAAGGCGTATCTAAACCACGAGTCTGATTCATCTGCGAACAGGCACAAAAACAACTAGCATTTTTTACACTAAGTGCAATAAATCAAAAGGTTTTAAATCTACAATTCACTCAAGAACTGTATCAATCTACTTCATAATATACTTTGAACTTTCTAAATGTACCCGAACGTCACGAAGTCACGAGCGTGTTCTCAACACGAATTGGGCTCTAATATTGTTGTTATAAAACAATGTGTATTATAATTGCGTATCAGATAGAATGGTATGAAACACAAATTATTGAAAAAAATTAGTTTTAGTGTGAACCACAAATTAGTGAAACACAAATTAGTTTCAGTGTGAAATGAGAAACTAATATGGAAATCAAGGTTGTTAAAATGATAGCGACAAACTGAAGGCGAGCTTGGCCAATATTCTACGCCTTAGAATTGACAGTTTTACCAGCAATTTTCACGTAAGATCCTGTAGTTCTCAATAACTTAACATTAATATATTCGGGGATTAGAAGTTAATGACATTCCACAGTGGAATACTGGCAATCCAAGTTCATTTTTTACTTACTTTCTTTTTTAGAAAACCAGCACAAGTTCGAAGTTTGAAATTTGAAAGACTCTCCAGCTTGACAATGGCTAACATTTTACTTGTTAAATAGCCTCCCCTCCCTCATTTCTGAACAAGTGGATCATTCCTTGAAATGTTCAACTGCGCCCAGACTGGTCCGAAATATAGGAACGAGTTTGATAAAATTTTTGATTCATGTTACCATGATTGACCTTGTCTACGTATAACATATAGCTGCCAATTGTCGTTCAAATGCAATAATTTCCGTCTGAATATTTGAAGTATTTTCGCTCACTTGAGTGAAAGTCACCGCTTGTGTTACTTGAGACGTGGTCAAGAGACCTCATTGCATTTCCAAGTAAATCAATTATTGTAATTACAACAACAATATGTCACTTACCCTTCTCCACCACCAGCTTAAATTTCTCCACCAGCTTAAATTTTCCATTGTAGACGACACCAAAAGATTCTATCGCGAATATTGCTCTCTCCTGAAAACTGCCTTACGTTGCTTCCCCGCGTGCTACGAGGCAGACAAGTGCATTTCACAGCTTAAAGGGTAGAATGTTTCAGGGATACCAACAGGATCAACATATACTTTTATTCAACTTCTGTGAAAATCTAACAATTTAATGAAGATATTTTATTCATAATTCTGTGATTGTGCAACAAATATTTTTTATATATTTATAATCTTTTTCCTTACATTTAAAACCTGCTCCCGTTGACGTATCTCGGCGCTGGAAGATCGGAAAACTAAAGCGAAAAATGACAGACTGAATTCGCGGGTATGAGAGCATTCCTGCTCCTTTTTTTGAATGTGAATTATTAAACTTCATGTTTGATGAAAATGACTTCAGTTAATTTTGCGCGCTTGTGCAAAGTTTTTCACAGATGAAATGAACGTTTAAAATATCTTCAAGAACACAGTCATGACTAGAAAGAAATAGTGTGAGAATAACTGTGTGATGGATATTACTTTGGATTTGAAGAATTCGTTAAGGCGTTCGTTTTTCTAAGAGATATAAAGGTATTAGGACGTACAATTTGTTCGAAAACAATTGTCTTAAATTTTTTAAATGTGAAATATCTTTTATTCACTCCGTGAAATTATTTCACAGTGTTTTGGCATACATTGCGATGGAAAGTATGCTTTTTCACAGATTGGAGGTTGTTTTATCTTAATCGAACACCGGAGCCTCATCAACAGGACCCTAAAAGTATTAACCATTTGAAATAAATTCTGAACACCATATTAGTATATATGATGTAATTAGGTTCACCGGTTAGGGTAGCCAATCTTAATGAGCATTAATGAGTCTTTTCCTTCACATGGAGTATAATAAGTGATAAGAGCCAGTATTTATAATTTACAAAATGACATATCGCAACGCATATTTCGAATTTACCATTTAAAACCTCGAAGTCCATATCACATTTATTTACTTATGCTTTTTTATTGTATATTTTAAGTGAATTGAAAAAATGTTTCACCTACTTTATTAATATCCAATGCGTGAAGAAATTGAAAGAAAACCGCGCAGCCTGGCCATGTTAGAGGTGTCTATGGTTTTATTAGATTCGCAAAAAATGGGAAAAACTGCAAAAACTAAAAAAATTAAACTTTCAATTTTGGGTGAAAATGAATAAATGTCAAACATTTTGAATATGGATGAATAAGAACAAATAATGAATGGATAAATGTGAAAACCTGTTAATAGTTTATATATTTAAATCAATTTTCTATTTTTAATGAAAGTAATATTAAAATACATTACGTTATCATGTTCATCATATTAATCATATTAAAATCATCATCATCATATTAAAATCCATTATTATCGTTATGTATGTACATGAAGACAATTTGGTGAGCTTGAACATTTTTATTTCTTGGCAATGTTTCATCATTTTGATTTTCTGTAAATTGTACTTCTATAGATTTAATCAAGTTTTAACAAAAATGTAATGTAAAAATTCTTTTTGGTGTTTTAATAATATGTTCATCCCCCTAGACATTTCTTGAATCCCGCCAACGCAGCCACCGCAACAGTAGCAGCGCATTGTGCGGTGGCCAAAGGCACTTCAAGAAGCTCATCTTTGTCCAGGCAGCGCTCCTTGTGGAAGCGAGATAAATCACGTCTGCAGTTTTTCCTGCAAGTTCCGCCACATGTCTCGGGACTAGAACGTATGAAGAGTGGAACTACTTGTCCGCGTCCACAAGGCAAAGGCTCTGCACATTTAGGGAAAAAGATGACAAAAGAAAACCAGTTAAAAATTAAATATATTTATGATAGAGTGAAAATCCCTTATCACGTGTTATGAAGTATTGTTTTGACAGCCTTATCTACTTTCATTTTATTTTCATTCAAATGTACAAACCACTTAATGATTTATTGTCAGTAGTAACTGATGCGGTCTGACGAATGTTTTATTTGTTTGCATTCAAAAATGTACCCGAACCCTTTAGCGGTGTTTCACGATTAGCACTAAAATTGCTACAAATTGACCTTTTAGCTTGTTATGCATGCTCTGAAAAAATCGCTTTTATAAGAGTCTCAAAAAACTTTGTGAACATTCCTTAAAAAATTAGTGATAAATAATATTCATCATTCATAATAAACAATATTTATCAAGGGTCAAGTTAGTTTCATTCTTAAAATTTTTAATTCCGACAGCATTGATAAAATACAAATCTAGCTTTGCTTTCAGAAATGGCATTTCACGATGCATGGGAAAAATCACATTTAATTACACTACCGATGATTCCTCCTCACCACTACCAACTCTGAAGTCAGCATAGAAAAGTAGAATCACAGATTCGATCGAGACGAAAACTACATGAACAACCTAGTAGCTTGATCTGGGCTGTCCGGGTGACGCCGCGTCGATGGCTGATATGCCGACGTTTCGACCGACATGTCGCAACTTCGCGATCTGCGTTCATGAAGTCTTTAGACTTGACAAAAATGCCACTGACAAGCTGAGCGCAATTTCCCCTGTGGCACGTTTCACTCAGTCCCTCTCATCATCAATAAATGTTACAAAAATAACTCACGACACTTACCTCCAAACCAGTATTCGTAGTATATGAATTCGGGGACTTTAGGAGAAATGTATTTTTCTGGAAGTTGTATTTAATACGTGTACTATAACCGTAACTTCTAGTAAACATTTGTTATATATACGGTTCGGTCAGGTGACTTCGACACAAGTTCTATACAGCCGAAATTTGATACATCAGAGTTCACTACGATTCATTGATTAGCGATTCCTGCTCCGCAACTGCTAAAGTATTAATTCCCATAAGTGTACGGCATGTTTTCATCGAGTCATGGCGGTAACCCCCCTGCTGGCGGGCGATAGTTGCTATCTTGCAGACATTGTACTAATTTTTCGGAGGTTGTCTATAACTATAACAGGTACATACAATTATCAATAACGTATCAAAATAAGACTTTGTAATTGTAAATGTAAACCCTGAAGAAGGCCAAATAAATGACGAAACGTTGGCCCTGTTAAACAAACGACTTTTTATTGTTCTACCCTCACGACTTCTTCTATAAAGAATAAGAGTCACTATATGCATACGAAATGCTCTATGAGTGCCCATAAGCAAGGGCCGATAAAGGAAAAAAGAGAGGAAGAGGCAGGACAAATCGCTTGGTGTTCCGTTTGTTAGGGCACTACTCGGCATTCAACCTGGTGTTGATGAGAAACCTCTAGGAAACTACCGATCAGAGCAGGCGGTCGCTATAGAATTCTCCTCCAGACAGCCGAGTTACACCATCTGCAGATTCGACTGTAATATGCGAAACAGACCAGTGTAGCGGACCTCACCACCAGACTCGAAGGCGGCCGAGGGGCGAGCGGGAAAAGTGACGCCTCGCCCCACCTGCCACGCCTCCCAATGGGCTTGAGCGCCACGGACACTAATTCAAGTCGGTTCCCCTGGCGAACAAGACAGTGGATAGAGTGAGGATGAGCAGAAATGAATGATTATGTATACAATGTTAAACAAGAGTGAATGATGAGTGAATGTAAAGAAAAAGCTCAATGATAAAAAAATACAATTTCTCCAGTATTAGTTAAGTATTCACATTATGTAAGTTAGGCCTGCAACAGTGTATATAATTCAATTTTCGAATTAGACTAAATCAAACTTGGCTAGTTATTCAGGCAAAGCTCCCCCCCCCTTCTAGCCGCGAGGCTACTTTTTATTCTAGCTTGGCCATTGAGCCGCATAAGATATATGATTATATACAAAGAATCATTTGAGACCTTGTAAACAGAAATTTAGTTTTAGAATAATACAATACAGAGGTTATATACAGTAGTTTTAATGAGAAAAGGACTCAGCGGTTTATATCTTATGGGAGATCGAAAAAACTCTTGGTAACTTTCTTCTTAACAGCAGCCTAATGCATCGGAGTTTGTAGAAAATAAATTCCCGCCTCCACAGAAGTACTGTGGAGTGGCCAGAAGAACCAAAAGGTGACGCCTCACCACCTGGGGCCGGGCGGCCGCCATGAGGGCGACGACGTCGGCGTGGCCGGCGACGGCGGCGCCGATTGAGCGGCGTGATGGCGAGGCCCGTCGTCGGCGCCAAGGGTCGGCGCCCGCCGCCAGCAGCAGCGCCGCACCTGCCGGTGCCTTCCAGCGCCGCCAGCCACAGCGCCGTCTTCTGGTTGTTGGTGCGCGGCTCGTCAGGCGCGATGCCCGCCTGCAGCAGCGCGCGCACGCGCGCGCGTCGCCCTCGCGCGCCGCCTCCAGCAGCGCCTCGCCCGCGGACCGGGTGGGGCGGGGCGCGAAACCACGCGCGATCTACGCACGACCGTCGAAGTCACTGGCCTTCGTAGGGCGGATTTTATAAACTCTGTCCATCAAGGCCCTGTTCACCGTCGCATAATGTCACCGTTTTTTCGTGTCGTTCTCGTTCTGTGCCGCTAGGAGTTCGCATGATCGCGACTGTACAGCAGTGGTGAACAGACGCGAAAATACGGTAACATGATGGCACCGTGAAGTTGGGCCTTGAGGGAAAGTTTTCAAAAAACCGCACTACAAGGGGAGTTCATAAATTACGGAATCCAAATTTGGAGTAATTGGAATACCATTCTCACTTTAAGTCACTAGTAACGTGCGCTTGAAACCCGTTCTCTAAATAATTACGTAATGCTTGGGACAACACCCCCCCCCAATCTACAATGAGTAAAAGAAAATAAAGCAGTTACGGTTTGTATTTGTGCTAAAATGTATAATAATTAAAGCCGGAATTACTTGGCGATGCGATCAGCCATCTAACAATGAAATTGGAGTCAATTTTTGAATGAAGAGGACGCGCATAGGCGGAAAAAAGTTCTGACAAACCGCGCATACGGCCGTCATGGATGGACGCTTGGGCCTTGAGGCTATGGTCAATTTAATTGCATTCCAGCAAATACTACAGAACAGCTTTGAATATTTTGTTGTCATCTAAGAGTTTCAATAAATATAATCATTCTTGAAAACTAAAAAAGATTTTCTATTTGCTTTAACAATTTGTGCATCGCTAACATTTTTAGCTTATTTATATTTTTAATTTAATTTGCTAATATTTTAATATTTTGGTATGAGACTGAATAAATGGAAATATTCACAAATTGACGAAAAAGTTGTGCTGTAAATGCTGTTTACGTAATGCTGAAAATAAGTATCAACCAATCATCAAGTAACAAAGTAAGTATCAATGATGCATTACGTAACACTATACCATGACTATATACCTCTCTGAAACGCAGCATAACGCTCGTCAAACGTCTTCCCCCCTCCTTAGGTACTTAATTTATGGGCGACTCCTTGCACCGTTGAATGACAAGGTTCCAACTTGAATGACTGCGAAGCGGATAACGCTGATCGTCTATTATGTCGTTGTAAATTATATGACAGCCAAAGATAATGATATCTACTACCCGTAATATTAATTTATCTCAAAATATTGTAGATATTTTTTTGAACCTTACATCAACTTATTTCAACCATATGTGAATTGTTTCCTAAGTTTCAAAAAATAGCCATTTTTCCGGCACACTATTTAATAACTTTCTCGTCTTACGAATGCATCGACGAAAATATCGTCTTGCCGAATTAAAAGTTATAATAATAATAATAATAACAATAATAATAACAATAATAATAACAATAATAATAACAATATAATAACAATAATAATAACAATAATAATAACAATAATAATAATGTGCCAACTGAGGAAATCTAAGGAAATGCGTTGTAGGTGTGATAAAGTTCTATCCGACATCTGCAAGTAGAACATACTCATACACTGGACAAATAGCTACTGTAAAAATCACTACTGAAGCTAGAGAGATGGTTGAATATTTGCAGAGGTTACACTGATCTCCATTACTTGAAATGACTCCAGTGTTAGTTAGAACCTAGTTGGAAAGGCGAATTTATATTTACAGCAAGTTGGGGTATCCTCGTATTATTTTAATTCTTTAGCTGAATATATGATTAAAACCTTAAATATGATTATTGTAATTATAAATTAGTAATAAACATGTTAATTTGACTATTGACATTAATTAAGCAAATACGTCAAGCCCTTAAACTTTCATTTTTTTTAACAAGTCCAATGAAAAAATTATAAGGCGTATCTAAACCACGATGCTGATTCATCTGCGAACAGCGCACAAAAACAACTAGCCATTTTTTACACTAAGTGCAATAAATCAAAGGTTTTAAATCTACAAATCACTCAAGAACTGTATCAATCTACTTCATAATATACTTTGACTTTCTAAATGTACCCGAACGTCACGAGTCACGAGCGTGTTCTCAACACGAACTTGGGCTCTAATATTGTTGTTATAAAACAATGTGTATTATAATTGCGTATCAGATAGAATTGTATGAAACACAAATTATTGAAAAAAATTAGTTTAGTTTGAACCACAAAATTAGTGAAACACAAATTAGTTTCAGTGTGAAATGCAGAAACTAATATGGAAATCAGGTTGTTAAAATGATAGCGACAAACTGAAGGCGAGCTTGGCCAATATTTACGCCTTAGAATTGACAGTTTTACCAGCAATTTTCAAATAAGATCCCTTGTAGTTCTCAACAGTTTAACAATTAATATCTTTGGGAGTTAGAAGTTAATGACATTCCACAGTGGAATACTGGCAATACAAGTTCATTTTTTACTTACTTTATTTTAGAAAACCAGCACAAGTTTCGAAGTTTGAAAGACTCGACAGCTTGACAACGGCTAACATTGTACTTGTTAAATAGCCTCCCCTCCCTCATTTCTGAACAAGTGGATCATTCTTGAAATGTCTACTGCGCCCAGACTGGTCCGAAATATAGGAACGAGTTTTGATAAAATTTTTGATTCATGTTACCATGAATTGACCTTGTCTACGTATAACATATAGCTGCCAATTGTTCGTTCAAATGCAATAATTTTCCGTCTGAAAATTTGAAGATTTTTCGCTCACTTGAGTGAAAGTCACCGCTTGTGTTACTTGAGACGTGGTCAAGAGACCTCATTGCTTTCCAGTAAATCAATTATTGTAATTACAACAACAATATGTCACTTACCCTTCTCCACCACCAGCTTAAAATTTCTCCACCAGCTTAAATTTTCCATTGTAGACGACACCAAAAGATTCTATCGCGAATATTGCCTCTCCTGAAAACTGCCTTACGTTGCTTCCCCGCGTGCTACGAGGCAGACAAGGGCATTTCACAGCTTAAAGGGTAGAATGTTTCAGGGATACCAACAGGATCAACATATACTTTTATTCAACTTCTGTGAAAATCTAACAATTTAATGAAGATATTTTATTCATAATTCTGTGATTGTGCAAAAAATATTTTTTATATATTTATAATCTTTTTCCTTACATTTAAAACCTGCTCCCGCTTGACGTATCTCGGGCGCTGGAAGATCGGAAAACTAAAGCGAAAAAATGACAGACTGAATTCGCGCGGTATGAGAGCATTCCTGCTCCTTTTTTTGAATCGTAATTATTAAACTTCATGTTTGATGAAAATGACTTCAGTTAATTTTGGCGGCTTGTGCAAAGTTTTTCACAGATGAAATGAACGTTTTAAAATATCTCAAGAACACAGTCATGACTAGAAAGAAGAGTGTGGAGAATAACTGTGTGATGGATATTACTTTGGATTTGAAGAATTCGTTTAAGGCGTTCGTTTTTTCAAGAGATATAAAAGTATTAGGACGTACAATTTGTTCGAAAACAATTGTCTTAAATTTTTTAAATGTGAAATATCTTTTATTCACTCCGTGAAATTATTTCACAGTGTTTTGCATACATTGCGATGGAAAGTATGTTTTCACAGATTGGAGGTTGTTTTTATCTTAATCGAACGCCGAGCCTCATCAACAGGCCCTAAAAGTATTAACCATTTGAAAGACATTCTGAACATATTCGTGTATAAGATGTAATTAGGTTCACCGGTTAAGGTAGCCAATCTTCATGTACTGGCATTAATGAGACTTTTCCTTCACATGGAATAAATAAGTGATAAGAGCCAGTATTTATAATTTACAAAACGACACATCGCAACGCATATTTCGAATTTACCATTTAAACCTCGAAGTCTATATCACATTTATTTACATTATGTTTGTTTATTTGAATTGAAATTTTAAGTTAATTAAAAAAATGTTTTCACCTACTTCATTAATCTCCAATGCGTTTAAAAAATTGAAAGAAAACCGCGCAGCCTGGCCATGTTAGAGGTGTCTATGGTTTATTAGATTACGCAAAAAATGGGAAAAACTGCAAAAATTTAAAAAAAACAATGAAACTTTCAATTTTGATGAAAATGAATGAATGTCAAACATTTTGAATATGGATGAATAAGAACAAATTAATGAATGGATAAATGCGAAAACATGTAAATAGTTTATATATTTAAATCAATTTTCTATTTTTAATGAAAGTAACATTAAAATAATATTACTACAATTCGTTATGTACATGAAGACAATTTGGTGAGCTTGA